GCCCTCCATAAAGACCCTTGACTTAAAATGAAACATAATAGACATAAACAAGCAGGCACTAAGGCTTCCTCTACATTCAAAACTAATGTTAGATATACATATCGTTCAAATGTGTAATGCCATGCAATGGTTCCAACTTGTTCACGAGATAGGTTTCCTAAAGACCCTAATTGTTCCTATCAAGAACCATAAAACAGCACACAAGGCACCCAAAATAGAAATAATAAAGAACCCCTTGTTCCTGCTTCTCCTCCTACCAGTTCCAGAAGCTGAAACATTAGCATTTATTTTCAATCTACTAAAGCTAGACAATCGCTCAAAAGCACGGTTTACCAATGGACTCTCCGCTGCAGAAGCGGGAGTTGTAGGTATCGACTCCACAAATGACCACAGAGAAGAAGAAAACCAGCCTCCACCTCCGTCATTTTTGTCACCTTGGTCTTGCTTAGTACCGTTGAATACAAAACCTAAACATGATAAAGAAAAAAACATATATAAGCATAGGTTCCAGTTCCCTTTTTTTATTTCTTTACAAAGGGTTTTTGCCATGTCTAGCCAACCATCCGTCTCATCAAGAGCTCCGAAAGGATGGAATATAAGATAAGTTCACAAAAATTTCCATATTGATTTCCACATTTGTTCTACCTGAAGTTGGAGATGCATTCCCAAGATTTGATCCTGATGGACTGAACACATCACCACTTTGGTCATGAGTCCAAAGTGAACCATTAATCTGATCCGTTTGCAGCTGTTGATTCTGATCATGGTAACCCACCTGGTTCACAGTTGAATTGAACATCAATTGCTGATTCGTCAAGTTCACGTTTGGACCATAATTAGACTGATAACCCACCTGGTTAAACATATTATCTCCCGAGCTATTCATTTGAGGCTGCATCAACCGCTGATCCATCAGGCCTATATTAGATTGATATTCCAACTGGTAACTTGCCTGATGTATCATATTATCATACGAGAGTGGAGCTGTTCCTTGATCAATAGGCCCAATGTCCTGTAGAAACATGGCAGCATCATGGTACAGGTCAAATTCACTCAGCCCATCCACCTCATTGAACTGCATATTCTCCATAGGTTTCTTGACATCAGAGATCAAAGGTTCAGGACCAAGGAGATCATCAATTTCCAAGAAATCCGTCTCACAAAACTGGGGGAAGTGTTCAAAGTTGTTAACACTGGATGTGACCTCAGGTGCCTCCTGCAACTGCAATTGAGAAGTAGGTGACTGAGAGAATTCAAAGCTTCCTTGACCCTGGATAACTGCGAGTGGCTCTGGAAACAGAATATCTCTTGGAGATGGGTCCAGCAAGGTACTTTGTGTCTCGTCCACACTGACAACCTGAGGCAATACACGGCTACCATGAGCTTGTGGTTGTGCAAATGCAGGCTCATCAGCTAATTGTCTCATGAACTCCTCAATATCATGCAAAGGCGGCAGATCTTGAGCATCAGCTTTTACATTATCACCAGAAATAGCCTCATCAGCTGGCTTCACAGGAGTGATGGTATCTACAGGATTACTATCATATTCCTCATCTGCCCACGCTTCTTCTTTAAACGGTGCCCCGTACTGTTCACCGTTTTTAGGACCAGGTCCGCTTTTTTTATACAGTTTATAGAGAGCATAGTAATCCTGAAAAGCAAATGAGAAACACGTAATTAAGAAACAGCTCATATATACCAGACGAAAACTGGAAAATCTTCTGAACAAACATAATTTCAACCGCATACCTTTACATTTTGGCACCTCTTCAGTTCCTCTTCGTCGAGGGTATATTCATGCATGACCCAATCAGTTCTCTCACCCCTAGGTGCACGTCCTCTGTAGAAAACTAATGTTTTCTTGATTCCAACCGTTCGAGAATTGCAAGTAACAGTACGATCCTTTCCAGTTGCCTTCCAATACCCATGTATGGTTGCCCTATTTGACCTAGCTCCATTAGGGTACTTCCTGTCCCTTGGACAGAAAAAGAACCACTGTCTATCCCCATTCTTCAGTATGGATTGTCCTGAAAAGCATTTTTTTTGTTTATTAGATGACACGAACGAATAAAACAAAACCCAAGGCTAGATACCAGCAAACATTATCTATTGATAGCAGCAAGAATTTCAAATAGGTACAAAGACAAACCATTTCTAAATCATGCACGATGATGGATTCGTCCAACAATTTTACAATTCAAAATTCCAGCGGAATCGATTACAAAAACTATTACCAAAGAAACAATCCAATTAGTGTGCAAAGCAAACTAAATTCAACGCGGCCCAAAACATATTTTTAAATCAATAGATCAAAACAACAATTAGCATATAAAGAATCAATGTCCAGATAATCCTCATAAGATGAACTCGTAAAGAAATAAAAAAAAAACAAATTAATTACAGATACAATCAAAACAATGCCCTAAAAGGCAATTTAATCGAACTTAAACCAAGTCAAAGCACCAAAACAACACTCAAAATACTAACAACAGTGAAACCAACAAAATAAAAGACGTATCGCCGGAGAAAACTCATATCAACAATCAAAAACTAAAAAAAACCCCCAAATTTTTAGGGGTTTAAAACGAAAAGGGAAAATTACCCGGCAATTCCTCGGGATCCCACTTGTAAACATCAGTTTCCCTTATGATATCAAGCTTGAGCCTTTTTTTACAGATCTTTCTCTTTAAGTAATAAAGAATCAGCTCTTCGTCGGTTGGGTGGAACCGAAACCCCGGTGGCCACACATCATCGTCCCCAAAACATGAATCAGACGTCACAGCAGTCGCCACCGCCGCCGCCGATACCTTCATCCCTCTTGATAATAGTAAAAAACTTTTTTTGTTTTTTTTTCAGTAAATGGACAAAAACTAGAAAAAAGAAATCCTGATCAAGAGGGCTAAAAGCTGATCAAAACCCAAATCTGAAAACAAAACAAAAAAATAATTTTTCACATTATAAAGAATTGCAGTCAAAGGGGGGAACTTTTGGAAGAGAAGTAAAGCGATGAAGAGTGGGTGGACGAGGGAACTTTATAATAGACGTTTTTAAAAAACCCGACTGATCCAAACCGGTTTGTCCAAATTCTTGTTCTACCGATCCCGCGGTCTTTCTTTCCTGGGAGGTTCCTCGTGTTGAAAAAACATTGTGCTTGCGACTCACCTTTTAGTCAAATGTAACGCTTGTCTTTTTCAATCATTAATAATTAAGAAAATATTATAATTTAAATTAATTAATTAATCAATTTATTATTATTATTATTATTAAAATATCTAAAATTATCATTCTAATATTTTTAAACTATAAATATATTTTAGAGGAGCACAAATATTTTATTTTGATAATATGAAATGTGTGTAAATAAAATGTTGATTTCCAACTATATAGTGTTTTATTGAGTTCCCTACCCATTAAAAAGAGCTTACTATAAGATGTTTTGTTGAACCATCTGATTATTAAAAGTTACAAAATAGTCATCTGACTTTTCTTAAATTCTAAAATCATCCATTTTCATTACAAAATTGGCGCTTGTCTGAACTAAACGTTAACCTGTTGAATTGAGATATAAGTCATATGTTAATAATATATACTGACACCGCTGTTACTTTCAAGCACTGGCTCGCCAGCATAATATTTCAAGCACTAGCTCGATAGAATAATGTAAATAGAGATTCGATCCACAAAATACAACTAAAACAATATTGAGATCATATTTTATCATATCACAATCAACATGTTAATGTTCATCTCAAACGACTGCTATTTTTTTAATAGAAAATGATGAATTTAAAACATATAAATAGTCTGATGATCATTTTGTAACTTTTAATAGTCGTCGGACTCAACAAAATAATACCTTATAATCAGGAGACTATTTTATAATTTTTAATAGTTAAAAAACTTAACAAAACAATATTCTATAATTAGGGGACTATTTGTATACCCTAAAATTTTATTTCCATAAAAGTAATAATAGTAAGGCAACAACGTAGTATTTGGATTACCATTGTCTATGATATCTTGGTTAAAACAAAGTTAGACTTAAGAACTTTCAAGTATTTAAGTTGAAGTTTTAATTTTATGTAAAAATTTTATTTTAATTTAAATCTCATCATATTTTTTTCAAGAGTAATATCAGATTTTGACATTCAATTTTAAAGATCAATTTAACGATTTTTGAAGAAAAACCATCATATAATGTGTTGATATATAACGTAAAACTTCGACTATAATTTCCTTCATAGTATATATTAAATAAAAAATTTAAAAAAATGAACTAACCAACATAAATTTACCGTAATTTATAGCAGAAAAAAGCCTAAAATTGTCAAACTATAAGATTATTAAAAAAAATCAAATTAGAATCAATTAAAATATTATAGAATAGATTTTCTCTAAATGATTTTATAACTTTTATTAATAAATATTATGAAAATATGGGAAAATAAAAAAATTCATGATTAAAAAAATTAAAAAGGACTATTGAAATAAAAAAAACTTAGAAAAAACTAACTTGTAGGATAAGGTAATAATTTAAAATATAAATATAAATTTATATATTTATTGACAATTTAAGTCAAATATATAAAAATTATATTTTGAGAGTATCAATTTAAAATGATATAAATATATTAATAATTTAAAAAATAAAAATAAAAAGGATTTCAAACATTTTGAGGGCCAAAAAGACATTATACGTAGTATAGATGAAAAATGCATTGGTCAAGTTCTTTCATTTAAGAAATATTAGTCAATGCTTTGAATGAACCCATTGTACTGAAAAGGACCAAAAGGCCCCCCAAATGCACACCCCACACGTCACACACACACGCATACATACGCATACATGCATAAATATGAACGAGTGTACATAGACACATGCATGCATACAAGCAAACATACATGTATGCATGCACACATACAAACATGCATGGACACAGACACACGAGTGTGCCTGTTGTACACGCTTTAACCTTGCTAACAATATACCCAATGAAAATAGCAATATAATGATCAAGTTTCAACCGTTTGTAAAAGTAGCATATTTCCTTGCACAAGTAAACATGTTACAAACAACTCAAACAATGAAAATTTTCCACTCATTCCATTAGCACAAATATTAAACTTTGAGGTGTACTGTGAAGGATACCTGAGTCGACACTGTAGAGCGTCAACTCCACATGATTTTGCACTTTATCTTTTTGAATCAAGTTTGGCACGTCGTTCTCTGTACGATGCTGCAAAAAATGAGTTGGTCTAGGTCATGTTAACTTGAAGAAGTTGAAGAAAACGTACAGGATGCCAGTTGCATTCTACGGAGCGTAAAGAAGATGAGTACTTGAAAATGTGAGACTTGTTGAAAGATTAAAAACATTTCACTTGTTGACCAAAACAAAAGTCGTCTCCGTCAATAGTTGGTGTTCGTCAACGCATCAACGGTAAAAAACTCAGATAATTAAGCTATCAATTTCTTTTATCCTATATTCCTATTCCTCGTTACGGAACTCATCATCATCTAGTTCAAATGTAAGGAAAGATTAAGGGCAAATGAAAGTAAAGGGAGGCCGCCCCCACACTTTCCAAAAAGAGAGATGGTATTTAAGATTATAAGGAACCCTACACTAGAAGCCATTCGTTTCTTCCAAAACAAACATTTCCTCGATGACTAACTAGTCAACTACGGCGATGGTTGCTTTTCCAATAAAACCTCAGGGCATTGATCGGACTTGATATTTTTCTAACTTGCAAGGTTGTCGAGTTTTTCATAATGAACATTATGCGCATCACGAATTCCTAGATGAAGTATGATCTAAACTGCCACCATTGAAATACACAAGCAAACTTTTGAATTTTCCTAGATAAGTTTCTCTTTGTTGCTAATAAATATATCGAGCCACACCTTTTTAAATGTCCTAATGTATATGAATAATGCAGGGTAGCATCATTTTCTAGCAGTGATGGCATTTTTAACGAAAGCTAGAGTGTAGCAGCACTTACGCTCAGTTGGCCGTGACAAGAGAGGAATGTGGGAAGCGACCTCGATTGTTCCGTCATTCAGTAAGCTCTGATCTGAAAAAAGTCAAAACTCTTTCACTGAGATATATCAACATAGATAATAAAACAGTAAGACCTTGATAGCAATGATATGGTAGAACTTGGTTTCTGCACCATTTGCTATAGGCAAGCAACTCAGAGCAGCTTCCTGAAAAATTGCTGATTGCAGCTGGTATGCTCGACCCTCATTTTCCAAGTGTATACGCAGTGCTTGCCCAGAATCTAGTAATAAAACCACTGGATAATTCAAATATTTCAAACATAAATGATTGCCGACTGGGAAAATGTGCAAGTGATATATGGATGCAAATGGTAAACTTTCATGTTTGCTTATGGATCAGGTCAAATTGTAGCATAGAAATCAGTACCCTATGTTCAGCAATGAGTCAAAGATATGAGGTCGTTCTTGTTGTTGGTGTTGTTGGGGTGTGTGTGTGTATTTTTTGGTATCATGTACCTGAGGAGCAAATAAACTTGACGTCTTCGAATTCACAGGATTGAAGGACCAGTGGTATCTCTGGAGACATGGCATACTGAGGTTTTCTTGGCGTCTTCTCAATGTCCAATAATACATCTATCACCTACACAAAATTGATTCATAGGTCACTTGATGTGAATGTAACTCATGCCAAAAGGTAAAGATGCATGCATAACACTAGAAATATGTAAAAAAATAAATAAACAAGAAAATATATTTGGATTGGCCACAGGTATCATGCTGGTCAATATCGGGAAAAGGACCAGCTTGCAGGAGTAATACTTGGTTCCAGTGTCTGTTTAATTCCACCTCTAACCTAGCAAAGCAATTTTCAAAAACTGAAGACAAAGAAGTAAAGAGAATAAAAGTCACGCACGTCAACTGATTCGAGACCTTGGCCGATCATAAATAGCACAGCAACTATGCACCGCACCTGATGCCATAGGAAGGCACTACCTTTAACTTTAATAGCACAAAGCTGATCACCTTCAAACCTGCAAGTAACAATAGAAGATTATCCACTTCATACATACATAAAATTGACCCTTAGAATCTACCATTCTACCTAATATAAATATAAAATATGTGCATGGTGTATGTGTGTGTATATATATACATATAATCTCACTAGAATCGACTGAAACAAATAGAAAGTCACCTCATATTAGAAGAAGAAATTTCAAACTGTGTAATACGTCGCCTGTAGTTGTGTACATTGGCTGCATCCATCTTACAAAAGTTTCTAAAGTCGTGTTCTCCAATAAATTTCTTTCCAGCATTCTCCATAGCCTAACAATAAATAAATATACATATATATTGCATCACTATGTCTTCTTAAATCTGATGAGAACCCACACAGTCATCCATGTAAAGAGAATGCTTACTGGGAGATTCAAATTTCCTCTCCAAAAGAAGTATTTATATTCTCTAGACAAACAACTGAACCTGCACTGACAGACAATATGACATCACTTCACCAATAAGATAACTAATATAATAAGTTCAAAAAGAAATATATAATGGTAACAATGAGCCAATAATTCTGGCTACTATAAATCCATCTAGGATGAATTTGGTTTTAACTATCCTTTGTAAACTGAATCATCCTCAAAATGAAAAAAAGAAATAAACTTTTTCAAATTTTAGAAAGACCTTGCACTGAAATCAATTGAAACAGGACTCCATCCTAAAATTCGAATATCGCTTGGAAGAACTCGGTTCAGTACTCTCACATAATCAATTTCTCCTTCTGATAAAAATTCAAAAAAGTAACAACAGCATAAGTTATGATAAAATATATATTTCGTTCCTTTTCACTTCATTGTCAACGTGTTTACATTTTTCTAAAGAAGTTGGAGGTAATAAAGTGATAAGGCTATATAGAAAATGCAGTGCATTTTACTTTATATCTACTCGGTTTTTCTTGCAGAGACCAATTCGCATGCCTTCTAACTTTGAAGTTTGGAATAGTTTCAAGTAGGATGGGGAAAGAGCTTATTAATCATCTGATGAGTGATGATGTGCTATTCAGATTAGGCAAAATTCAACAAAATAGAATGATGATGTGATTGTCAGGCAAATAGAAACTAAAGAATTATTCAAACTTCAATTAGTTTCTAATCTTGATCTAAATTTTTATTTTCCTACAACTTGTGAGTTCTGTACTAGTTTGCCCCAATTATGCATGTGTATTGTACCCTCCACTATAGGAATTGCTCAGGAGTCTATTTGACAGCACAAGTGAGAAAATTAAAGACATTTTACACTGAAGGATTTTATTCATATCAGCACTACTTTGGCCCACAGTTTTTCATTCTAGTTTCTCCAATTGTATAACGAGGTCGAGGTCTCATGATGAAAAAGTGAGACTGCTAAGACATTTGGTGAAAAAATATAATATTCAAAGCTCTTTAAACAGTTTGATCTACCCTCAAACCAAAATTGTTTGTCCCAAATGAAATTCTATCTGTTGCTAGCTTTATTAATTAAAAATAAGTATTTTCATGTTCAATTTCAAATTTGCAATTGGACCTAGAAAATGATAGAATTCAAGGATTTGGAACAAGAAAAATCCATGAAACACCAACATCAAATTATTGTCACAGAACAACTTTTACTTAAAGAGTCTCCAGGATAGAATAAGTTGCTGACCAATTTGCATCTCCGAAATTAATTCTCCTGAAAGTTTGTTGTTTGCATCAGTTTCTTTGAGGTTTGACCTTAAAAACAGTGCAATCACCTGCATCGAGCATTTTTTCATGTTCTTAGCATTCAATAGGTAAACGGTAAACGGTAAACCATGGTTCAAAATTACTGTTAGATTAAAGGAGGTTCTTCTACTGATCAGCTTACTTGGCCAACAGAGGACACCCCCTTATCTGTTCTGCCACATCTTGAGTACTGTGATTCCTTCCTGTCACCAACTAAAAGCCTTGTTTTCTCGAGAGCTTTGAAAATTTCAGACTGCATAAATGCTGGAGTTATATGAATATATCCGAGAAAGAAGCTAACTGAATAATACACATCTGATACAAGTTCAAGTATATTATGATTTAAGAGTTAGTTTCTTTTCTTCTCAAAAATATTTTTTACAAAGATTCAAATAAATCTTGCACTTATCATTCATCAGCTGTAAATTTCCAAAATATCTTTAAGAACCCTACCTCAACAGTGGGATCCATTTGTGCTTCTGAAGCAAAACCATAAAACCTGTCATATAGCACCTGGAATTATAAGGCTTTGTTGCTTTCTACAGTCTTTACCAATTTATAAATTTTAATTTCTTTTTAAAATATTATTGGTTCTACAATCAAATGATAAAATGAAGCAGACTTCTAAGGCCAGAAAAAAAAGAGTCCCTGCTAATGCAGATAATATATATCTCTTACCCTACCAAGGCTGGTATCAGAAGGGCTTAATCTTGATATGATCTTAAATTAACTTTTCAAATATATTTAATAGGAATCTTACAGATAAACTACGTAACGAAACTAATGCCATGTAGATACTAGAAGAAACTCAGTCCAAGTCCAAGATTCAATGTCTCAATCTCTTCAAAATGCCAGCAAGTATAAATGCAGGTAGCAGTATTACATACTATAGGGGAAACAAGTCTAGGTGTTGTTACTGTTCTCAAAGAGATGCTGCCCTAGCACCTATCTGGCTGGAATGAAGGCTGAACCAAGCTAAATGAAATAAACTGTGCAACCATTAAAACTATTTCTTCCTCCATAACTACTCAGTTGCTATTTTTCATTTTCCTACAAGGGATTATGATTAAATTGTGTACCTTTGACCAAAATACATGACTTTTAGAGCAACATATCTCTTGGGATGGTGACTCATAACTGTCAAATTATAACCTGTTTAGAAAGTATAGAATTTGATACATAAGAAGATGATAAGCAAAATACTACTACAATTACCTAATCAAGGAAAATATTTTACTAGGACAGTATCTTAATACACTTCAGGGTTAAAACGGTGCAACTGAACAGAAGCTGAGTAACTGTTGCTCTATAACAGATTACCTATGCAGCATTTTATGAAATACGAATAATGTAACACGTCTCCAATTTCATATCTCATGAATCAATTGATGGTCATTGGCAGGCAAAAGAAAAGAAACTACGTTACATATGTTTGAAATAATCCCATATAGATATGTGAATAAGAATTTGGCATGTAAAATTTTCTTCTTTTCATCAAATGCATACATCAAATCTGCAATCGCTGTTTATTTTCAGAAGCTGCATAGGAAACTTAAAACAGGAAGGATAGACCAATCATAGAAACCAAAAGAATACAACGAAGTAGACACCAACAAGATCAATTCAAAATAGCCAAATTGCATTAAATTCATTGTCAGAAAAAAAAAACATGAATAATGATCAGATCCTGATGGCATAAAGATTATTTATTTTCTGCATCTTTGGTAAATCCCTCCTTATTTCTTTCATATCTTTTATTAACAATACATCACTTCATAGGTGGAAATGTATATATATATACTTCAGGCTTTTCTGCTCTATCATATTTTATTTATCAGCAATTCAGCATATTAAACTTGACTATTGCACAGCACACTAGTGGAGTATCTTCTCTAATAAACTAGTTGGATGGTTTTAACATGAATCTAACATTGACTCTCACATTTAACATAAATAAAAGAATGCATGGTGGAGGACGTCTATTGGACCAAAAAGAAATTCATCATTAAAAAGCCAAAATTTTCTCATTAAGGTTTTATACAAATTGGCAAACTTGTTTGTCACATGAAAGAAGCAATATTTGATGAGATAAAGTAGAAACTTTCAAAACAAAGCCATTGCCCGTTTACTTGAATCACAAGAAGCAATCCATTGAGAATTTTCCTCGCTGTAAACTAACTCAAATGACATTTTAGATCAATCAATAGACAGAGACTAGAAAAGAAACCTGGATTTCTTTCTATTGCTTTCTTTTTTCTGGTCTTATCACCTCCAGTGTTTTTTCTCTGACTTTCTACACCCTGTTTGAAGCATTCGACATCAGAACCGTTATAGTCTCATAAGTAACCAATTAAAAGTCTCATAAGTAACCAATTAAAAGTATTACAAGAAAAACTTCCCCTCCCCATCTCAATAAGGTGTATATAAATCATAAACCAAACATGGTCTATAACTAGTACCACACTCCCAAGGGCCAGGAAGCTTTTACAAAGTACATCAAAGACTACTTAATTGTAAATTGAAGCTTCATCCTTTAATATAGCAACAAATTGATCATTTTACTAATAAAAATATCAAATAAATCTTGTCAAAAGAAAAACAAAAGTAGCAAAATGAACTACTGAAAAAAAATGGTGCAAATATGACACTTCTTTTGTAAATTCTTTGATATACAGAATGGCAGAAAAAGGAAACATTACAGATAATAATTATAATAACAACAAAATAGCGATAAAGAAAGAAAATCAAAGTCAGTAAAGAACCTTATGGCAACAACATTTGGAGAGTTGAGATGATAGCTTCGCGTTCTCAGCCTCCAATTCCTGATTAATAAATTACAAACATAAGAAATTCAAATTGATGAATAGTATGAGATTTGACAAGCAATGGAAATTAAAAAGCAGGAAAAGCAAGAGGACCTGGACTCTGTTTTGGATACTCTGTAGTTGGGATATCAAGCTACCGGCGACATCACTTCCGGACTCGCTTGTTGCGTTTGACATTTTCAAAACACCAACGCCGGTGAATCGTTGTTAAAGCAGGTAAGTATCGCCTCCCGTTTTGTTCCGTTTCTCTCTCCCCCGGGACAAAGGAGATTTTGTTCGAAATGAACTACAACGTCTCTAAACTACGACGTATTGAACTTCAGTTTTTTTTTACTTAATGTAAAAATAATATTTTTTTCCAGTTATACTGTTAGGTGCGTAATATTTTTTTTCGTTACATTTTTAAATGTCTACTCAATAACAATCGTTAAAAATTATTAATCGATATGTGTCAAGTTTATATTTTGGCTTAATATAAAAATAAATGATCAAATTACACTGTAAGTTAATTTTAGGTACTTAAAAAAATTCGTTAAAAATAAGTGTCTAATATTTTCTTTGTTATACTTTTAGGTGTCTATGTAGTAACGGCCGTTAAAAACTTAGTAATATTATTAATTTAAGAGCATGTAACTTAAAAATCTCTCATTTCAACCCAATTACCAACTGTCATCGGTTATTATTAGTCGCCTTCATCATTGTCGAACGAACATTCATTTGTCGTCGGACCTCCACTACCGACAATCCTTCTCGTCATTGTCTCAATCTTCCTAAATCCATAAATCCAAACTTAAATTTTTAACCTAATATCCTAATTCCTAATCTGATCTCAAATTTATCGTTCTCACCCTGAGTTAATTTTAGGGATTTTTGAAGATAATGGAGGGGTTTTGAACGCAATTGAATAGGAGAATTTTTTTACGTAGTCGAATAAGTTGTGCATACGAAAATGAGAAAGAATTATGTCCTAAAAAATATTTTTTAAAATAATATTTTATTTTTAAATAAATAAAATTTTAAAAATGTATATAAACACGACATATGTTAAATAACGATTGAATTTAACTACCATTATTACATAGACATCTAAAATTGTATAGTCGAAAATGTTAAGCACGTAAAGTTAACATACTTTTTTATATTAAAAAAATATAAATATGACATGTTTCACTTAACGAACTTTTTTAACGGTCAGTATTACGTAGTCATAAAGTGTAACGAAGAAAAATTATTTGAATACCTAAAATAAACTTAGAGTATAATTTGATATTTTTTTATATTAAACTTACTTATAATCGAAATTCATAATCTTCTGGTAATATAATTACTGCAATGAACAAGTTTGCTCATCTAATATCACAAAAATCAAGAGGGACGGAAAGCAAGAAGGGTGAGAGAGATGGCGGTGAGCGCAACGGTGATCGGAGCACTGCTGGGGCTGGGCACTCAGATGTACTCCAACGCCCTCCGCAAGCTGCCTTATATGCGGCGTGAGATTTCTTTGTTTTTTTATCTATTCATTTTAACTGTATTTGTTCCACACTTGGTTTGTGAATATCGGAATTGAAATGCAGATCCATGGGAGCACGTTTTGGGCATGGGTCTCGGCGCAGTTTTCGTGAATCAGCTCGTCAAATGGGACGCTCAGCTCCAACAGGACCTCGACAAAATGCTCGAAAAGGCCAAGGCAGCCAACGAGCGCCGCTACTTCGGTCGGTATTACAGTCTCTTCTTTTATTTTCATTTCATTACATTGCTTTGCTTTTGGTACTGTATTTGGATCTAGTAGTAGTTGTTGCAGAGAAACTGTCCTCAATATTTTGAAGTGTCATGGTACAAGAAATGTGATTAAAACCCTAGAATGGATGGCAATGTCAAACAGTGAATTTCTCTTGTAGAGTAGATATTTCAACAAAGATTCATGTATCTTTATCTTGAATATTGGAACCAATGAATTCAGTTGGGATTGCGTTTTGGAGTTTAAAGAATAAAATCCATTGGTCTTCACTCTTCACCTAACAATCCTTTTTTTTGGTTTTGGTTCATTGGGATATAGATAGAAAAAAAATAGATTTTCTTCATTTGTGGATCACTCGAATATATGCAGTAGTGCGTAGAATGTGGTATTCTATAGTTATAAAAACTTCAACTAACATCGGTTCTTTAAGTTAATGATTACGTTGCATGTTCTCCTAAACGCTTGATTCTACGATAGCATCCGAAAAACCTGGAATTTGGCAATAATTGCTGAAATTATTCTTAGTTCCATGGCCCTCTTGAATTTCTTCTGTATTAGACTTATTGCTGATATTATATTGAATCTGAAACTTATACTTCTCAGTAAGTTGGAGAACAAGATTGAAATCCAGAAGTCTAACTTTTTTGTTATAAATCTTCTTTTTCGATGGACTGCCAACTGGTCTTAAATCGTGCTGTGGCTAGAGGTTCACATCTTCCACAAACTGACTTCATACCATAAACTCATAAGACTTTTGCATATATTCTGTTAAAGGAATGCACGCTTGCTTGCTTAAGAGTAGCAGCCTCGTCTCACTTCTTGTCATGATAATTAGGCAATAAATATTTCTTTGAATGTGGATTTCATCTCATTCTATGTACTGATTTGTGGTTGTCCCAACCTGGTGACGATTCTTTCTACACCCTACGACCATACCTATGACCAGGGACAGACGTATGATCTGATGTTAGGGAACGAAAACAGATTATCAATAGAAAATATCTGATATTTTGATAATTTTAAACCCTCCGCCTCGGTCCATCCCTACCTTTTCTATTACCATAGTGTTGTTATTCTTGATCAGCTTTTCCTTTTCTTGCAGTGCTATACCATTATTTCTTGAAGATGTTATGCATGTACAATTATAATGTAACTTCTCCATGCACTCCCTTCTGAAATTACTAACTCCGGAAGTACATATTCTAATCAGCTGCACTAGTGATTATTTTGAGACCTTTCTCTGCATAAGTTCGAGACTGAAGTTACTCATGTCGTCTGCTTGCATAGCATTGTTCTGTCGTAAATTTCCTCACACTCTCTCGCTTGCTTGAAATTGCAGATGAAGATGATGATTAATGTTTTTCCTTATCATTAGATAAACCTGCACCAAGCAATGGTCACAAAATTGGTTCGGATTGTTCGTTGCAAAACCTTTAAACTTAACATCTTTTGTTTCTTTTGTTGGGCATCCATGCCTTTTCGGTGCAAACTGGCTGCTGCAAGTGCTCATGTAATAAATAGAAAATTTTCAAAAAATTGCACTATTTTTTGTGCTATGGTGTTTCTTAAATTTGAAATTATATTCAATGTATGAGGATTTAGTTTTGAGTTATATCTGCTCCGGTCTGTTTTGCGGTACGGAAAATTGTCTTCGGGAATAAGATTACGCGAAAGTATTATTATTTGGCAATATTAACATGAATGTTACATTATAGGTAATGTAAGATTGTTGTTTGGTTGAGAAAATGAAAGATTGGAGTATATTACATTTAATTGTCTTTATAATATCATTTAGGGTAAACTATAAAGGAGGTCACGTTTGTTTTAGTAAAATTTTATTTTAATCGTTCAGTTTAAAAAAAATTATGTTATGGGCACTAAACTTATTTATTTATTATGAAATGGTCTCTCAAATGTTAACCCTATCGATGATGTGGTGTGTTAACATAAATAATTTGACTCGGTATTGTTAAAATAAATGTTGGTTTGGCCTAATATGTCGTGACATATGTCACTATCTGATTAGATGATTTAATTTATTGAATTAAACTAAAATTATAATAAAAACTGATGGAATATAAGTAATAAAGATTAAATATGTAATTATAGTAGTTTTATTAATTACCACGTCAATTCTTTTGTTAAATGTTAATTATAGGTGTCTTGGTTGACATCATTTAAATAGTTAAGTTGACTAATTGATAAAATTAAAAGATCGATGATTATATAAGAATCCTCATAATTAAATGGTCATCTATGTATATTATCATTTATTTTAATATAATAAAAATATTAAAATCTATTATATAGTATAAAAGTTAGTTGAAATTCAATGATTAATATTCGATTTATGTATTAGTAGTGGATTTAATTCATATATTTTAATTCAATTATTTTAGTTCTTTTTTTTTCAAAATTCAAAATTTCAATAACAATTTAGATAATAACTACGAAATTTCTCTAATTAAATTTTGTCATTATATATATTGACTGTAAATCTAATATATGTTAAATTCACAGCTGAATTATAATACAAATATTTACATCATTTCATTTATTTGTTTGTTTCATGTGATATTCAAATTTTAACTGCTCTTCCTTTTCTTGTCACCACATGACAACCTAAGGTTTCTGTCTCTTTTTTCTTTAAGGGTAAAGTATAGTAATGGTCACTGAACATTTTTGAAGCTTGCATTTAGGTCCCCCAACTTTTAAAACTTACAATACAATCCCCCAACATTTATTCCGTTTGCAATATGGTCCCCCAACTTAAACCACCGTTAGAAATTAGGGTAAATTATATAAAAGGTTATTGAACTTTTCAGACACTTGAATTTAGGTCCCCCAACTTTTAAAACTTGCAAAACAATCCTCAATTTCATTCTAAACCCCAATTTCCAAAGTAATTCAATTTCATTCTAAACCCTAAATTTCAAAATAATTCAATTAAATTTAATTATGTCAGATTTATTATTATTTAATTTCATCTTATTTCATGTGATACGTATTGTTTATATAAATATAATAGTATAATTCTTAACTGTTGAATAAATTTTTTAATTAAAAAAAGTAGTTAGGATATAGAAGAGGTTGAAAATAATTCGAATTTTAAATTTATAAAATGTTATTTTGACGTATAAATAAAAATGTAAACTACTAGGTTGACAACTTAACTATCTAGCCCTTTTTACTTTTGTCATCGATCTTTTAAATTTATCAATCATACAACATAATTATTTAACTGTTTCAACTAAGCCACTAGTCGTTACCAATTGATACAAATGATGAAGTGGCAATTAAAAGGAATTGGCATTATTATACATTCAGTCTTTATTATTTATATAATCAATTTGATCCTAAATTAAATAGAATTTAATAAATTAATCATTTAATTAGGATCTGACATGTGTTAGCACATGATCATGACACGTGTCATTGGTGACACATGTCACCACCTAATTATTTATATATGCTATCAATTTGGTCCTAAATTAAATAAAATTTAATAAATTAATCATTTAACCAGGATCTGACATGTGTTAACGCATGATCATGATATATGTTATTGGTGACACATGTCATCACCTAATTAGAAGAAAATTAAGTTACAAAGAAGTAAAATTTGGGTCTTGGGCAAACTCAAACCTGAGTCACGCAAATGAAAGATACAGGGTGGAGCCACTAAGCTAACACCATCGTTTGCGTTAAGAGATATACAATAATACATATACTAATAGTATGACCAATGCCAGAAAAAAAAGAATATATTGGAAAATGGAAATAATGAGATTTGAAATTCGGTAAAAAATTTGAAAGCAATTAATGATGGGAAAATATTATATTTTTTTACAATAAAAAATATTATATTTGATAAATTGTTTGATAGATTTAATATATTTTTTAAATATTAGTTGATACAATATTTTAAAAGAATAAATTTAAGATTTATATATTTTTAAACTAAATTTAATAATTATATTTTTCATATTTATAATTCATGATTATATATATAATCTTAAGTTGAGTATTTCTAATATAATTAATAATTTTAATTTCTTATTAAAAATAAAATATTCAAAAAATATAAATGATTCATACATTAATATATGAATATTTTTTTTTATTTATACATCTCAATATAAATATACATTTATATAAATATATGTTTATTCGTATATTGAAATATTTTGATTAAAATATAAACATATTTTAAATACTAGTTTATACAAGAAAAATAAAATATATCAAAAATATAAATGATTCATACATTTAAATATAAATTGAATCATTTATATTTTCTATACATCTATATTTAATAAGAAAATAAAATTATTGGGGGACTGTTTTGCAAGTTTTAAAAGTTGGTGACCTAAATTCAAGTGCTTGAAAAGTTCAATGACCGTTTATATAATTTACCCTAATTTTCTAACAGTGATTTAAGTTAGGGACCATATTGTAAATGAATAAATGTTGGGGGACTGTATTGCAAGTTTTAAAAGTTGGGGGACCTAAATGCAAGCTTCAGAAATGTTCAGTGACCATTACTATACTTTACCCTTTCTTTAATTTATTTATGATAATCACATAATGCGGAGGACTAAAGTCATAAATTTACTTAAGTTTGAGGGATTAAATTCATAAAATTACTGAAGTTTAAGGGTTGATTACAGAATAAGACCTTTACCATTTGACATGGCATGACAATTGCATTGAGCCATGAAAATTTGAGCAAATTGAGCGAGTTACCCGTGATAATTTATCCCGTTTCAAAAGGCTAAATCCAGCCGTTGAAACCCTACACTTTTCAAAATCTCCGTCCATCCATAACGGAACTCCAACAGCTTTTTTGCAACCGACTCTCTCCCGTTTTGAACTAAAACCTGAAACTCACTCACAAACAAAAGCACACAAGAAATAAAATCGCTTCACCAAAAAAAGGAAAAAATATTAAAAAAACAGAGAATCGGACCGCCGGTGTGATACGTCGCTCCGGCGAACGGTATATTCAGACGTCTTTCATTGTTTCTCCTTTCAAGTTCTTCTATCTAGTTTTGATTCTTTTCTTTCGATTCTATTTTTTTTTATCGATTTATGTAAGGAATGATTGGTTATATGAATGCTTGAATCCAAAATTTTTGAATTTTTGAGGCTAGATTGTTCGTGCAATGATTTTTAAATTCCTGCTTTTTGAAATTGATGTTGATTTTTATATACTTCAATATTCGATTTACTAATGTTTTTAAGAATCAATTTAATGGTTTTGATAAGATTATTTGGGTTCTTTGCTAATTGTTATCCAATATTTATGTGACGCATATTCTGTGATGCATATCGGATTTGAAAGATCAAATATATGAGAAAACGATGGAAAATATCGAGTATATCCGTACGAGACACACACACATATTCGATATGGGAATTTACAGTTTTCAAGTTTTGTAAAATAATTAGTTTGACTTCTTTTCTGCAGCTTAAAGGAATAATTGCTCTTCTTGAAGGATTATTGAAAATTCTTCAGATCAATCTTGCTAGCTTCTATAACCCCCTTCAGTAAACTCTGTAGAACTTGATGAAGTGGATCGAGACATTAAAGGATCTATTGCGAGATAACAAAACATCAATAATTTTCTGTCGAAATTAGAATGTGGATACTACTTGTGAAGGTGTGATAGGCAGTTAGAGAGATCCTAGCACCCAATTTTTCCAACATCTTTTAGTCTATGCAGTTTAATGGTGTGGCGGTGTGTTCTTCAACTTGAAGGAATAAGTGGAAAGTGGTGAGTAGTGAAGAATCTGATAAAATGAACGGCACTGGTGGTTTTATATCAGATGAAAACCGGGAGATTCTCCAATCAGCTTCAGGGAGTGAAGGTCCATTATCTTCTTCTTCAAAATCTCCAAGGTCAACACAGGTCCATGGCAAAGGTAGTCCAGTTAATCATGATAGGCAATCACGTTCTCCAATAGATGGTCATCCTAAGAAAGGTAACTAATTATACTAATATCAGTCCAAAATCTAGTTACTAGACAATAGCAAAAAACGCATTAAGGAATCCAAATTGAGTGACTGTGAAAGCCGATACCATTTAGTTCATTGTTGATCTTGTTCAACAATTTCATTGCAGGTGGTTGTGGTGGCAAAGGAACTTGGGGAGGGTTAATGGACACTGATTCCAGTTATCCTCTTGACTCAAAGGACCCAAACTATGATAGCAGTGAGGAAGTTAGTCCACTATATGTTCCTTCTACTTTGTCTGGATTTTTGTTGTTGTTCTATCTTTTTGTTACTTCAAATTTCCCGATGATGATTAACACCTTTTAAAGGATTCAAAGCTCAGTTTGATTAAAAAGTTGTGCTTGATGCAGGAATGTGAACATCCAAATGCAAGAAAATCAGCTCCCGATTTTGATGCATATAAAAAGAAAGTGACAATAATAGTGGAGGAATACTTTGCTACTGATGATGTTGTCTCAGCTACCAATGAATTAAAAGAACTTGCAATGCCCAGCTATAATTATTACTTTGTTAAAAAGCTTGTCTCTATGGCTATGGATAGGCATGACCATGAAAAAGAAATGGCTGCTGTCCTATTATCTGCACTCTATGCTGATGTGATTGATGCTCCACAGGTTTACAGAGGCTTTAGTAAATTGGTGGAATCTGCAGATGACTTGATTGTGGACATACCAGATACAGTTGATATTCTTGCTTTGTTTATAGCTCGAGCTGTTGTTGATGACATACTCCCTCCTGCATTCCTTAACAAACAGAGGGAGCTCTTACCTAATGATTCAAAGGGGGTGGAAGTCTTGGAAAGAGCTGAGAAAGGGTATCTAGCAGCTCCTATGCACGCTGAAACTATAGAGCGTCGCTGGAGGGTTGGTAAGAAAACAGTTGAGGATGTGAAAGCAAGGATAAACAACTTGTTGATCGAGTATGTAGCGAGTGGTGACAAGAAAGAGGCTTATAGATGCATAAAGGATTTGAAAGTTTCCTTCTTCCATCATGAAATAGTTAAACGAGCGCTTGTTATGGCAATGGAAAATCGGAAAGCTGAAGATAGACTACTGGATCTACTCAAAGAAACAGCTGAAGAAAGCCTGATAAACTCAAGTCAAATTACAAAGGGATTTGATAGGATGATTGACACAGTTGACGATTTGTCCCTTGACATACCAGATGCGCAGAAGATACTGAAGTCTTTAATTTCTAAGGCAACATCTGATGGTTGGTTGTGCGCTTCATCTTTGAGGTCGTTATCATTGGAGCCTAGAAATAAATCATTCGAAGACAATTTTACTAAAACTTTCAAGTTGAAGTGTCAAACAATCATTCAAGAATATTTCTTGACTGGTGATATCTCGGAGGTTTTTAGCTGTCTAGAAGCAGAAAATAAAACTTCTTCAGGCGAACTGAATTCTATTTTTGTTAAAAGGCTGATAACTTTAGCTATGGATCGGAAGAACAGGGAGAAAGAAATGGCATCTGTTTTGCTATCATCTTTATTTTTTCCTGCAGATGATGTAGTAGATGGGTTTGTGATGTTGATAGAATCTGCAGATGATACTGCTCTAGATAATCCAGTTGTTGTTGAGGATCTTGCTATGTTTTTGGCTAGAGCAGTGGTGGATGAAGCTTTAGCCCCACAACACCTGGAAGAGGTTGGGAGCCAATTTTCAGGGACAGACTCTGTTGGGGCCAAAGTGCTTCAAATGGCAAATTCATTACTAAAGGCTCCCCTTTCTGGAGAGCGCATCTTAAGGTGTTGGGGTGGCGGTGGTAGCAGTACGCCAGGATGGGCTGTTGACGATGTGAAACTCAAAATAGCAAAGCTATTAGAGGAATATGAATCCGGAGGAGACATTAGGGAAGCTTATCGGTGCATTAAGGAATTAGCCATGCCATTTTTCCACCACGAGGTTGTAAAGAAAGCACTGGTGATCGTTATGGAGAAAAAGAATGACAGACTTTGGGGTTTTCTTGCACATTGTTTTGGCTCAGGGCTCATAACCATGAACCAGATGACAAAGGGTTTCTCAAGGGTAGAAGAATGTCTCGACGACTTGGCTCTCGACGTGCCTGATGCCCGAAAGCAGTTTCTAGCATATGTCGAGAAAGCAAAGACTATAGGATGGTTGGATTCATCATTTCATTATGGAAATTCCAAAAATGGTAAAGAGAATGGGGCCTGCCTATGATAACGAGTAAGTTTTCTCATCATTTGCTACACCGCGTTCTATAAAACATTCAACATACTAAAATGGGATTCGAATCCCAGATTTACTAGATGCCACATTTTAAAGGTGTCTGGTTGAACCAACTGGACCAAGCCATGAAATTTTAATGGCTCGATTTAATCGTATTTGACAAATTGATTAAACCAGATTACTCTACACTGAGCAGAGCTGACATGGTTCAAATGTTTTACTCTTGAAATTAACCATTCATAGGTTTCCAGGGAAATCAAGTTGACTACCTTCTAGCTGTGCCCTGGTTTTGCAGACAATAAGTTAAGAAATCGACTTGAATTTCGACATCCGCCCGACACTGCATTCTTGTTGGAAGTCAGCATGCTTTTTGCTATTACAACTTCGGTATTTATGTTCTTTGGTACTTAAGTTTTTGCACAACTCCAACATCCAACATCTCGAAATTTGACCAGATGACATGTTGGAGATTGTTTCATCACATTGTTCTCCGGATCCTATTTTTTGTTGCATTGCATTCGAACAGCTTCTTGAATTGTCATTTAAATTTTGATCTTATTTATTTAGGTAGAGAGCTCTTTTATGTTGTTTTTTCCCCCTCTTGTTTAGTATGAATTCGGTTTTGCACGGCGAACTATATATATATATATATATATATTTTTTTTTTTTGGTAAACTACTCATTTTGTCTTCCACTTATTCCTGTTTTAATCATCTAATTATTATTTTAAATTATATTTAATGTTATATTTTATTTATGTTTTGATCATCCGTTGTTAGGTTTAACCGTTGACGTAAATAATGATATAATATGATATGATATAATAATAGTTATAGCTCTCAAAACTTGCATATATGTTTAATTCAAAATAATTCAATAAATCTTTCATATTTAAAAATCCTATCAATTTGATCCTCATTGTTATTTGAAATAATTATTAAATTGTCAAATTTACATTAACTCTGTGAATTATAGTGATGCAATTGGCATCAGCTACACTATCCCTCTTATGAATTGAATTTGTTCCAAGCTTCCCGAAAATAGAGAAGCCAACAAAAAAAATTAGCCTAAAACATACATTGCTTATCATCTACAGTCGCTAAAAGAATAAAGTCACACACCAGAAACCAACCTTTAGAAGGTGGAAGACCTTTATCACAAATCCACTTGCGTTGAATGGTTACACCTAGAGGTCGTTAAGTTCGATAAATTTTGTTCGACTCGTGCTCGTTAAAAAAATTTGTTGCTCGACTCGTTACTCATTAAGCTCGTAAAATTTTAATCAATTCGTGATCATTAAAAAAACTTGTTGCTCGTTGCTCTTTCCTCTTTGCTTGACTCGTTGCTCGTTAAATTCGTCAGAATTATTTACTTGTTTTTTAACTATATGTATAATCTAATAAACTAATAATTATTATTTTAATATTTTCCTTGTTGTTTAACTAAAATTAATAAATTAGAAATAATTATTAATTAATAATTTGGCATCTTTCTTATTATATATTAACAAATTATTAATTAAAAAATTAACGGAATATTTTTTAAGGTAACTACTAATTTTTTTTAAACAAAAGATTAACAAACAACTTACAATTTTATCGAGTTAAATTAAATTTTGTTCGACTCAACTTGTTAAAATATCGAATTGGAAATTAATTAATTCGAATTCGAACAAATAGTGGCTTTCCTGTGTAAGCTTTCTTTACAAGAGCTGAAGTTATAATTTCTAGCAATGGAATTGGCTGCCAACCAATCTCTGGACCAAGGATCAGTTTTCAGTTCCAAATAACTATACAAAGGAAATGACAAGCAGGTTATGGATGCTATTTGTCACGGACTTAATCGCTCAATAAGCCTCGTGCGGCCTTAGCTCCTTTTCGCCCCTCGCAATAGCTAAGTCAGCCTCACTCGAACTCGTGCTAGTGAAAGGATTAACAAGGAAACAAAGAAGAAAGGAAAGAACTTAGAGGAGAATAACCTACCATTATAAGAGGAGGCCTTTGAAGGATCCTTCTCCGGCAATCACAAATTCCATATTATCATATTTTCCGACCAGTTATTTTTTCTCGATATGATTTTTATATAAGTATTATTAGGTCACGTGATCTGTTAAAATCAAATTCATTATCAGATGGTTATATCTATTCAGTCTACCAATATATAATAATAATAAATCAATAATAGTTCACACTATTACCTAGAATTACTATAAAACCCTCCACACTAGAATTATGGAAGGACTTCTCCGCTTCTTTTTTTACCTTCACTTCTCAAACACCGATGATATTGATCGTTTATTACTCCATCATTGATCATCTGTTACGTTTCTCTGTTCAATTTAAAAGGGATGAATCGTCCGTCACTATTCAAAATATTACCATTAATAATCGGTGCGATCAACATAGAACACCCTTATAAAAAAGAAAAGGTCGATATACACCCTAAGAACAAAATAACCAATATTGTCCTCCAACTTCTTCCTAAAATTTACCATGATGTAATTAATTTCATCTGGCCGGCGTGTTCTAGGATTAGAAGTTTAAAGATCGGTTGTAGCTAATTAAGTAAAATTTATATTTTTTGGTAGATTAAATTGATCATTAAATTATGTTAGGATTATTTTTTCTCAATAATTAAAAAAAACAAAATAATAATTAGATTTATCGAACTATTATAAAATGATCACTACGCTTTATAAAGTAGTGACAAATTTTAATACGTTTAAGGGATCTATTTAGTATTTTGACGAGTTTAATGGTTAATTTTAATAGTTTCATAAAATGTTATCATCGTTTTAAAATTTCAGCGACTAAAAATATTATTCAGTTTAGTCACCATTTGTGTGCCTAGTGATAAATATAAATAATGTAATTTTAGTAAATCCATTTCTACAGTAAAAGGCAGATAATATCCTTCCATGAAGAATTGCTCAGATATTTTTAGTAAATTCATATCTGCAGTAATATAAAAGAATCCAAAGTGAATTCCTGGGGGTAATGATTAAGATGTTTGTTGTTCATTTCTTTTGAAAACGTGAACCAAATCTATATAAATCAAAGCAGAAATTTGCCGCCATGTCATTGCAAAAGCGAACCTTGCTGAAGGTCATCGTTCTCGGCGATAGCGGGTACGATCATTTCCGATCTTAATTTTCAATTCCCATGGAAAGAAAATTCATGAATTTTGTTTTGCGGTTTCGTAAAATGTGGTTATATGTTTAATTGCTTTCGCGTCAATGTCGTCAGGGTGGGCAAGACGTCGTTGATGAATCAGTATCCTTTCGAGTTTCAACGGTCGCTTTCTTCTTCTTATTTTTGGGTAATTTTTGTAGATCTTGATTTTTTCTATAAGGTACATTGTTTCCGGAATTAACCGATTGAATTTAGATATGTTCATATGAAGTTTAGTCAACAATATAAAGCAACCATTGGTGCAGATTTCGTCACTAAAGAACTCCAGATTGACGAACGCAATGTCACTCTTCAAGTTGTTTCTTTTCCTTTTAATATTATCATTATTTATTTTGATTGTTTCCATGTTCTTTTCAGCTAAAATTTGAAGGGGTTTTTTCTTTTTTGGATAGATATGGGATACTGCAGGGCAGGAAAGGTTTCAGAGCCTTGGAGTTGCCTTCTATAGGGGTGCAGATTGTTGTGTGTTGGTATACGATGTTAATGTGATAAAATCATTTGATAACCTTGATAATTGGCATGAGGAGTTTCTTAAACAGGTTTCTCTTTTCCCCTTTCTTTTTATCTCTTTTTTCATTTCATTTCGTTTTCATGTCTCATGTTCGGGGTTCGAAGTATCTCTTCCAACAATATTATCTTCTAAGTTCGAACATGGACTCTTTCCTAGACTGCACCCAACACTTGTTGGTTTTAGTTCTTCATCAAATTGCATGCCACTTTATGTAATTCTTGAAGTTAAAAACTCAGTTGGTAGAGCGCAAGGCTCTTAATCTTGTGGTCGTGGGATCGAGCCTTACGGTGGGCAATTCATAATTCTGACTGCCGGAGGTCTTCCACGAAAGCTCCTCTCAACCCGTTGGGGGCAGCCTACTACCTTACCTCCCCCTCACCCTCACCCTCACCCTCACCCTCACCCCATTACATATGGGAATAGGATCAACTAATTTTTGAAGTTAAAAACTCGATTCGATTTTGCTCGACTCAAAAAAAATTCAAATTTAACTTGAGTTATAAAACAAAACTTGAATAACTCAAAAGTTTTAGCAATTAGTGGATTAGTTTTCACATTTGAGTCGAGTCCCTCAATTTTGCATGATACATGTATATCACATGTGAAAAAAATTCATATGTATATCATATATGATTAAAGAAAATCATACTTTAATATTGTAAATATTTATAATTAAACTTAAACATAAACTCGAACAACTCACTTTACTTGACTCGAAAAAATTTCAAATAAAGTTTGAATTATAAAATATAGTACTAGACAACTTAAATACTCGAAATTTTTTAACTCAACTCGACTCTACCAATACTCAAACCTAATTGACATTGTTATAAAGAATGACATGAACAATGTGCTGTGCATCAGTTATTTTTGGGCTTGCAATGCATTATATGTTTCCAGAGGAAAAAAAAAAGCAGAATCCTAGAAAACTTTCCCGATGACATTGTAGGAACAAATTTTGATAAATTCTTTATGAGAAACATACATAGTGATTACTTATTTGAATTAAAAACCTTACATGAGCAAAACTTTCTTGCAAGATGGTGTCTTTTGTGGTAAAATCACTCAAGTACTGAACTGAGAAAAAATATGCTTCCATATAATATTCGTCGAAATTTATTTTCTCAGCTAGTGATCTTGTTACAATGACCGGACGACATGACATCTTTTTGGAAGACGGCCGGACGCATGACATCTTCTACATGCATAGAGATTAAAAGATGTGTCGTCCGATCATCTTCTAAGAGGACGCCATATCATCTGGCCATCTTCTTTAATAACTATTATTTGTGAAAGTGAACATGCTGATATGGTTTCGATTCTCATTTCGCGCCAGGCAAATCCTACCGACCCCAAGACGTTTCCGTTTATATTGCTCGGAAACAAGATAGATTTAGATGGTGGCAATAGTCGAGTGGTAAGGATTTATAGTTTCTATATATACTTGTGAATTTTCTTGTCTTCACAGTACCCGAGAGTTTCATTGGTGGTGTGTTGAGCCATATGTAGGTCTCCGAGACGAAAGCAAAAGACTGGTGTGCTTCGAAAGAAAACATACCTTACTTCGAAACATCAGCAAAAGAAGATATCAACGTCGATGAAGCGTTTCATTGCATTGCCAAAACTGCTCTCGCGAATGAGCGCGAGCAGGACATGTTAGTTTATCTCTTTTCTCGAGGCCTATCCCATTCCCTGTGTTTTGAGTGCACTTTGGTAAATAAGTTACATTCTTTAATGAACGAACATGAATATACCCTTGTTCTTGTTCATTCAATTCGTTTACGGGCTAATTGCTCTTATAATGTGTCATTGACCTAGAAAGGAGCATGGTTTCATCAAGCACTGCAGATTCAGATATGATCATTATCTTTGTCATGCATTTTTCTTTTACTGCATGGCTGTGTTCTTTAGCATACGCTTTTGGGACATTATATAGCTAATGTCCTATTTGTGTATGATTTAGCAGATATTTCCAGGGCATCCCAGATGTTGTCACTCAGACTGAGCAAAAAGGTGGCTGTGCATGCTGATTACAAGCCAAGCTCCTTATATTCTTGGTTGTTCAATGCCGTCATATTTCCCGGTTCCTATGATTCTTATCCATTTTTTTATTTTATATATATACATTTGTATTCTAATATCCTTTGATTGAAGCATTATTCGAAATTAATTTTGCTTTTGGTAGAGATGAAGTAAAAGAGCTAAAATTTTGTAGAATCCCAGGTGATTTTGCTTTTAGTTTTAACTAGGGCTATATGTTCAAATTGTAATATTTGGATGAGCTTTCAATCAAAGTGATGATGATGATTGATCATGTTTTCAATGGACTTAATTTATGTAGCTACAGATTTCATTTATTCACACCTTTACAACTGAAAGTTCAGTTCATATAACCGAACTTATGAGATATAGGTTTAAAGTTCGAATCTCGGCATCGGCAGATAACTGCATCTGCAGATTTTGTTTCTCCCCGACAAATAAACGCCGATCGAGAAATCACCGATATAAAGCGAGGAACTCGATATATTTGTTCAGACGAAACTTCCAAATCTCAGAGGACGGACGGAGAACTTCGACTAGAAGGCATGTTCGGAGGGGGACTACGAATGCTTGTTTCAGTGTTGCTGCCATTCTTCACTATCAGGACAGTGTTTCATTCCCCAAATCCATATGTTTGCCTTCCTGGCAGTGCATTGCCCATACTCCTGCTCACAACATTCGAACAAAATTCGGGTTTTATAGAACCGACATATAGATAATAGCATGTTCAAAATCACCAAAATTATAGAAAGATACCAGGATTGTTAGCTTTAAATCTGATAGTCAGCCATCCTATCCTTTCACAGGGGGTGAAGCAGTTCTGAGGTAAGGTGGATCAACTAGATTATATGTTTCTGGGTCTGTTGCGCTGCTGAAATTCCCATAACCCTCTCCGAGTACGTAGAACTTATGCCCATGTATGTACATAGAATGCTCGTCCGATGCATTCAACAGATTCGTCGACTGAAACACGATCTCAACTTCTTCTTTGTATTCCAAAATCTTCACCTTCGTCCCCTTCAACGGATGCGTACTAGTATCTCTCGAATCAGCTACAAAGTCAAAGTAATAGGGCGGCTCATCCGGAAAATCCGAGGTATAGAATCCACTCAAGTTCCTAGAACAAAAATCTTTGATATGGTAACTACTTCTAGTTGTTGTATATCAAATATATTCCTAGTTAACAGCAAAAGTTTTAAAGGGGGAGAGCTTTTACCTGTAATAAGCTTGAAAGCACATCTGTTGACGGGTTCACCCAGCTTATATAGTTTAAGCTTGAAAGAAGAGTATAGTCCATCTATCCATGGAAGCTGTTATGTACATTCGAGTAGTTACATTTCTCGGAACATCTATAGGATGTTCTTTGCTCCCCAGGCTTTTCAAACGATTCCTGAATTGCATTGCAGAATCATAGTCGGTATAAGAAGGCAGGGTTTCGGGACAGGAAGGCGGTGACTGTTTGTTGTACCTCCCTCTATAGTTGAGAATTGCTGTAACATTCGTTTTATCATATCCGGTAAAAACCGTATTATCGGTGTAATGTTGTCTACCGGCCATGTAATAACGACCGGGAGATTGATTTGCTTCGATTAAACGTCTAACGTCTGACCAGTTGCTAACATGACATAACTAGTAGTAAAAGGTTTCAGGTAGATTCCATCGATTCCAACAACTGTCAGATTATCCCTGCTATTGCAAAGAACTCTTCATCCATCAATGCATTGACTAATCGAATCAAGTATGTCTTCCCGACTCGCCATCGGTATGCCTTCTCTGCAACACAAGGTCAATACATATGATAATGTATATTACGTCTGTAAGTGAACTTAATCTGCTTAGGTGTGGTGATCAATCATCTCAAAAACTTAAACCGATAGGAAAAGTGTTCAACTATTTTATTAGCCTTGCAAGTGAATCTAACTGCAGAATAAAGATAAAAACTAGAGAAGGATAAGAACACTCCCAAGGGGTAATGAGAAGTACTAAAGGGGAAAAGGGTTGTCAGGATTCGAGCTCGAAAGCTTTAATATCGAGTTGAATCGGATTAAAACTCTTAAGCCGATAGGAAATGGTCCCACATTTGGTTAGCTATATATATTGACAGATTAGGGTACCTTTAGAGCATGCACAGAAATCTCCTGCTTAGCCGTTGATGATATAAGCATCAGATATAGGTACATCTTTCCCAGTTCTCAGGATCTCTCTGATTACCTTGTTTATATCATAGGTAAACCAAGTTCCTGCATGTATGCATACATACAATAGGCAAAACCCAAGTCAGTTTCATGATTCAAAATACATAATATAGTATTTTACTAGTACACGGGTGCTGGACACAGATGCATACATACATACATACATCCTGGGAATTGGCCATTGACAACCAACATGCTCTTGGTCATCCACAGCCTGGTAAAGTTCTTCTCTTCCACCTACATACAAGATCATCATCATCATCACTGTATGATATACATATATACATATATACATATAATTCGATTTAAAAGTACTTACAACAAAGTCGTGATAGTGAATTTCAGCTTCTGCGTCCCAAGGGGAAATCCCAGTTAGGAACATAAGTAATATAGGGAGTGATGCTGGTGCTACAGCCATGGGTTCTTTGCAGGAAGATCATTAAAGTTTGGATATTTTTATTTCAATTGCTAAAATTTCAAAAATTATATTAAATTTAAAAAAATAAAATTAAAAATCAATATTAAAAAATAAAAAACAAATTAATTTCTGAAGTATGTTAACTTCAATTTATTTTGTAATATATATGTGAATCCATTATCTCATTCTTTTACCATCTTCGATTAACGATAATTATCAATATTGATTTCAAACATATTAAATAAAATATTTTTATAATAATAATTTGAAAGGTTTCAAAACAGAATATTGGTTTTGCAAGAAATTATAGATGAAGGGTAGCCTGGTAGCAATGATTTTTTAAAATCCTAGCCGCTCAATTTTTTTAAAAAAAAAATAGAAATTTGAGTTTTTGAAGTTTAGTTAAAAATCACTTTTACAACCATGATTTTAAATCAATTTTTGGGTATTTAGTATTGTTTATAGGATGAAAAACACATTACTAAAAGCATTCTCAAATTGGTCGTAAAAGAAAATATTGTTTTCCCTATATGTTTTGGATTCGAACAACTATGTTAGCAAGTTGTATAATTATCAATTGGTTAAGAATATTAACATATATTATATTATAATCATCTCATACTAATAAAAAATTTGAAAACAAGATCTCTATAGCCCAACTAATCCAATAAGCTAATCAATCTCTTGGTCATTACTTTCGCAACCCTGTAAGGGGGAAAAACCAGAGAAGATAATGAACTGACATTATATTCACGTGAAATCAGGGTGGATCTCATCTTCAACGATTTGATAGTTGATGGATTCAGTGTTGCCTTCACCATCTCCCCATTTGTTGACAAGATGCTGTGCAGAGCTTGTTGGACAAATATGTTCCTCCTCATCTTCTGTTATGTAAAGGCTCCACTTTGAATTCCCTTTAGCAGCTGCTGCTGCTGCTGTTGTTGGCTTGATTTTCCTTATTGAATCCACAATGTTCCCTGCATCTCTTAGTCTAAAGCTGCTTCGTTTTGAAGCACTTGTGGCAGTGTCTCCTAATGCCTGCTGCTGCCTAAATGGCTTCTCATCTGCAACACAAAATATATTGTATAATCATATATACATATGCACGAACCAAGTGACTTCGGTGATAAAGAAATTGTACGAACATTTAATGCTCAATAGCTGGAAGTTTCTTTGAACATATATACTTTAAAGATAAAGTCATCAACTCCGAAGATGAACTGTAAAAGGAATTAAAAAGTTGCTGTAATTACTTTGTGCAGGGAGCATGGAATCCGTTCTGCCATTCCTCTTGGATAAAACAGGCTTATAACGTTGATGATGATCGCTGCCTTCATCATTATCATAGTTCCTTAATTTGGGCCTCTCGAATTTCTCCTTTGCTGGCAACTCTGTCACTATCTCTGGCTCTAAATCATCCCCTACACCATACATAAACTAATACATACATACATACATATTATAGTGGCAGTAAAATTTATTTTTCCAAGTATGACCTTGTTCCTCTTCTTGTAAAACTGATTCGGGTTCAACACGATTCTCTGAGTCGAGATACTCGGTCCAATCGGTACGCCTCTTCTTCGGATTCTCCAGATGATCACCACCGCCATCTTCGTCGTCATCTTCGAAATCAATATCGTACACCGAATCGAAGGGTTGGTTTTGATCGGTGAACTTGCGGGACATATTGAAAGACTGGACGACCTTGCGGACGTCTTTAGCCATGGGACCCTGGGCAAACACCTTCAGAACCGATTGCTTTTGATTGCAAACCACGCACGTCCAATTGTTGCGGCTCTTCTTCCTTTGTTTCACCTGCGATTTAATCCACCGTTTTTCATGGGGATTCGGTTGACTTTGCTTAAATCGAAAGATAAAAGAACTATTAACTTCGATTCACCTGCATTGTGGAGCATTGGCAGCATTGCAGAGCTACAAAAATGGCGGTAGACATAATATGGGTTTTCAACCTGTTTTTCCCTTTACTCTCCTCTGTTTGTCAAACTGTTTTCGTTTCTGGGTTACTCCGATTTAAGGGGGAGGTCGGGATGAGCGGGACATTTTAGATTTTTCACCTTTCGCCATTTGGCGCGAAACGTGCTGAGGGCTAAAGGGTTGGTTTTAGGTTAAGAATAGGGATGCACATTATATTCGAATTTGACGGGTTCTTATTCGATTTTATTTTATTAAGTTGACATTTTTAAAAGAATTTAAGTTTAAAACGAGTATTTTAGATGATAAATTCAGATCGGATTTGAATTTATAGTAAAAAATGTTCAACCTGACCTAATTGAAAAAACAATATAATTATACCTATCCGTATGAAATTAAAAAGTATATTACTTTTTTTTATAGTTTTAGAAGTTGTTTTTCTATTCAGATAAATTACATATATAACCATTTAATTATAAAAAATTAAATTGATTATTGATATTTTAATTTTATTAATCTGGTATGAACTAAGTGATCTCAGTGGTTAAGAGATTATTATTTTCTTGAAATAGATACTACCTTGTATTCATCATGGATTTATCAAAAAAATAAAAAATAATAATAATTTTATCAATCCGACCACTTAATTATTTAAATGATGTCAACCAAGTCACCAATATTTTGGTAGTTAAAAATTAATATAACTATACATTTAATCCTCATTAGTTATATATTTTATCGATTTATAATTATATCAATTTTAACTCTGTTAACTATTAATAATTGATGACTTGATTTATATTATTTAAATAATTAAGTAGTTTGATTGTCAAAACTAAAAAATATATGATCATATTAGAATATCCTATAATTTAAATTTGCTCTAAAAACTATAAATGTATTACGCATCAATTAAAGTTGCATCGAATTTATAAATTGATAACTAGAACGACATAAGTACCAAATTGATATCCTATTGATACTTTGAAAACAAAAGAAATATTTAAAAGTTTGGGACTAATTTTGAGTTCTGAACATAGTTTGAGGACCTTTATTGAATTAATACTTAATTTATATCTTACGCTTTCTTCTTCCTGTCCTAGCCCCTTTTTGCGTTTGATCAGAGCTGAGAAAAAAATTCAAAAAATGCGTACTCGTTCTCAAATCTCACTGTGCAAATACTTTCTGAGATACCCTCTTGAATCTTATCCAAAGCCCACGTCTTCGTTTCTCATTAACTCGCTTTCAGCGATTCCTACTCAACTCGTTCCCAGCTCAGTCCGATGTCCAAAACCCAACCTTTTCCAACACCCAATCCACCAAATTTCGTTGAAGTACGGCACTGATTCGGCAGCACCCGAGTTGGATGTGAACAAGGAAGTTGATTCAATCAACCTCAAGTTCGCGGAGGCAAGAGAGGAGATAGAGATGGCAATGGAGTCTAAAGAGACTGTTTATTTCAACGAAGAAGCAGAATGTGCTCGTGCTGCTGTTAAGGAGGTTCTGGACATGTTTGAAGGGCTTTCAGGAAAGCTACCCGAGTCGAAAAAGGCGGCTTTGCAGCGCTCCATGGGGCTCAAGATTGAGCAGCTCAAGGCTGAGCTTCAGCAGTTGGATGATTGATGAGGTTAATTTTAATTGGTTTCTGCTCAAAATCAGAACTTTGAATCTGCTTTGCTTCACTTGTAACACTTGGTAGAGAATTAGAGATGAAAGATTGGTGATTTTAGCAGTGGCATTTGATTTAAAGCATATATGATTTTGAATGATGAGTTATGATGTTATGGTTATATGGTTATAGATTATGATTTTGATGGTGATGATAAAGGAAAATTTGTAGCATTTAGTGGAAACTATTTTTTAGAAGTTTTGTGAACTTGTATGATCTAAGATGATGATTGCATGCTTATTGTTGCTTTATCTGATATAATTCAATAGAAATTGGTGGCTTCTTTGGGAGTAATGCTCAGACTAGGTTGGTTATTGATTTTGCCTGAACATTTAGGCCATAGTTCAGAGATTCATATGTACAACTGTGAGAATTTTGGTATTAATTCTACCCTACTCATCGAGCAAGGGTTTTGTCAAGTCTCGTCAGCTCTTATCATCCCTTTCCCTCACCCTCTCTCTTTAATTCACTTGGGGCTTTTTTCTTATGATCTGATCTTCCATCTACATTGTCTTTAACGTTTTTAGTGAGCTTGGTTCTCTCCATCGACCATCGTTTATGTTCTTTTCAGCTTTTTCATTCAGGCTGGTTATCTTGGTGCTATGCCTACACTCTACTCTGCTTTCTCTTCGAGATCTCGATCTGGTTTCTCAAGGGAAGAACTAAGTTTGGGCTGAAGCTTCCTGCAGTGGTTTGTGCGCAAACATTTTTTTTTGTTCGAACCGTAATCCTAGCTGGCGCTAGAGCTTTAGATTTCATAGAGGGACTTGGCTTAAAGGCTAGCCACATACTTTAGAGCCTCAGGTTTTATTGAGTTTTCATGCTTGTCTTGGTTGCTTTGGAGGCCTTTGTTTCTTTGTTATGTTGATGCTTAATGCTGCATGCCTCCTTTTGTCTTTGCAATCCTATGTTTCTTTCTTCACTCATGGTGATGCTCTAGGTTTGATTTGAAGTACCATATTCGATTAAGTTTCCGTTTCATTTGGTTCACTTTTGGTTTGAGTAATGACTAAATATATTCGATTCGACTCAAGTAGTGTTGCCTTCTGACTATCTAAGTTAGCAGATCTTATGCCATACTTGGTCATAGGCAAACCTTCTAGATTTCTTCTATAGGTTGCTAGTAAGCCTATGTATTTCCTTCCAGTGTTGCATAACTCTGAGTGATAGGGTCAATTAAGCACTTAATTCAAACAAAAACACTTTCTTCCATAATCGAAGTTGAGTAACCAAGCATTTGTAACCACGAAAATACAAATATTCGTACAACATTTGAACTATAGAGATTGTGTTGATGTATCGATACTTCTTCGATTTCGTTTGAAGCGGATTTTATTGCCTTGGTGATCTGAAGTAGAATGCAGGGAAGGAAATATTTCTCTAGTTCCGACAGAATGGCCAAGATGTTAGCTTCTCTTCCAGAGATCGTCGTGTACATTTCACATGCAGTCGGGGCAAGACTCAGAGTCCTTCCTTTTTTACAAGTTAATATTCCGGCATTCCGACCTCGATTCACTTTCAATATCGGCGGTTCTGCAATATGCATCAGATAAACCTCGATTCAAGATTATGTCGGAAACTCTCAAAATGCAAAGATCTCAACCACGGCCCTCGGTTACCTGAGAGATATTTTGTCGGGAAAGAGCGACTTCACGACAGGAACCTTGACCTTCTCGTCCTCTTTAAGGAATTCGGAAACAGAAACGAATCGGGATTTGCTCATATTTGAGATATGGAGCAACCCACTGCAACACAGTGAATTACAAAGAATTACAAAGTGAATGTTCAAAATGTGTAGGAATCCAGATTTTACCCGTTCGACGTTTCAAACCCTTCTTCCCACACTCATTCTAAATTAGTCTCTAAAGTTTTTAACATTCCAATTTCATCCATAAATTATAACTCTTTCTAAATTGGTCCACAAACTTTTAAAATTTTAAATGTCTCCAAACTATGACCCTCATTTTAGTCCCTAAACTTTTGAATGTTTCATCCCCGGATTTTTGAATGGTTTTGAGGGTGTTATTGAAATGTTAAAAAGTTCAGTGGGATTATTTTGGCTTTCATGTATGGCTTTTTCGAAATGTATTGTTGTTTGTGTTCTGTCATCGATTGTGAGAGTTCTTTTTCCTCCACTTAAGTTTAGAGAGATTTTTTAACAAGGCCCTGCTCGTTTTACGTTGTTTTATATGCGGTGCAATTTAAATAACATACAAAACTTCCCCCTTCAAAAAAAAGTTCAAAATTTCAGGAAACATAATAAAGGTCATAATTAGAAATGAATTGAAATGTTCAAAAGTTTAGAGACCAATATAAAATGAGAATTTGGAAATGAAATTGAAATGTTCAAAAGTTTAAGATCTAATTTAATTTAAAATTATAGTTATAATTTGTATGTGTGATCAGGGATAGACCTAAGGAGAGTGGCCGACCGTTCCCCCTAAAATTTTTATATTCTTATGTATTTTATATATTTTTTTTGTATTTTTTATTAATAATTTGTTTTCATTCTTTTAAAAATTTATAAATTCATCTTTCTAACATAAAATCCTCCATATGTACATATTGTGTGTGATGTAATAATCTATATGAAAAATGAAAATATAATAATTAATAAGTTACATTTCACTGTTTGGAGAAGGAAAGAAAACAATAATTGATTGCATTAAGCCATTAACAAAGAAAAATCACAAATAATGTAGCGAAATTATATATTCAAATAAAAAAAGCTAAAAAAAGTTGACAATAAAAGACAGCTTACCTATAATTTCAAACATAATATATATATATATATATATATATATATATATATATATATATATATGTGGTGTTGATGCCAGAAAAGATTGATTGATTTTGGTTTAAAAATGGATTAACTTTTGATAATGATGAGTGAACGAAAGAGAAAGCTTCAACACCACACAATACAAATTCAACTTGCTTCCCTTCTTCTTTTTTTTTTATAAAAAAAAGTCGTTTCACGTTAGAGGTGTTTACTTGATTAGTCTTGTTAATGATCAATTAAATTAAAATTTATCAAAATTAAATTTATTAAAGTTGTTGATTATAATCCGAATCGAATTTTTTTTAAAAATTATTAACTGAATAAAAAAATGGTTAATTCGATTAGTTTTCGAATTAACCAAAATTTATTATAAGTTTTTAGTTAAATTAATTTGAGCTTAGTATGTGTATTTTTTTCATTTTGGTCAAATTTTAATTAGATATTGAAAGTTTAATTAAAAATAGTTGGGTCTTAAAATATATATTCAATATATATATATAATATGTTATATATTTAATATTTCTAGTTAATTCCATTAATTAATTGATTTTGAATATAATTAATCAATAATCAAAATTTTAAAAAATATATTCTTAATCCCTAATTGGTCCAATACCTAATTTCCCGATCGGTTAATCGGACTAAATTTTGATTCGGTGATGGGTTAATCACTATACTATTTCTTATTTTTAAAATATTTTTTCTCTCTTAATTTTTTCAATTTTAATGCAAATTGTAAATGTAACAACTTAAAGGCAAAATAAATTATTAGTCCTTACTTTTATTGGTTTTATCATTTTGCCTCTTAACTTTTAAATATAAATATTTATTAATTGAATAATAAGATTTTCTCATCATATATGTTTATAACTTTTAAGGGTTAATTTTATATCTAATAAAACCAAACAACAAAATAATACAAAAAATCTTAAATTGGTTTTTGTCCACTGCCAAAATGGGTGGGTTGAATTTGTACATTATATATGTATAGAAATTTATTTGATAGATAAGTTGGTTTAAATTTTAGTTTATTTAATTTATATATTTTAATAATATGTGTTTTATTTAGGATTTAAAAGTTTATGAGTACAGAGTGTAAAGTCAGTCATCTAAATGTTTAGTATTTAAGATTAAATTCGACAGATTGTATAAATAAAATAAAATATATGTATAAAATAATAACTCGCTAAAAATGAAATTTATGATCTGACTGAATTTAAGCCAAATTTAAATCAGATATTATCATACTTTATATCTATAATTTATTAAAATATTTAATATGGTATTTGTATTTTTAAAATGTTCATTATGTTACATGGCCTTTAACAAAATTTTCAATATATACATGTACTTTTATAAAATATCTAATATGGTAGGTGTATTTTTAAAATATCCAATGTGATATATATACTTTGTCAATATGTCCAATATACATGTACTTTGTTAATAGGGTACCTAAGGTTAGGGATGAGCGTTCGATCAATTTGAGTAAAAAAATTTTGAGTTATTCCAGTTGACTAGTCCAATTTTATAGCTCAAAATTTTTTTGAAATTTTATCGAGCCGAGTTGTTCGAATTTCTGTTTAAATTTATTTGTAAATATTTATAATATTATTGCATTATTTTATTCGGCTTGACTCGAATTTTATTTTTTTACTCAAGTCGAGTTTATAAAATTGAATCAATTCAAATCGAGTCAAAAATATCAATTTTTAGACTCGATACAAGTTTTGCTCACCCCTACCTAAGATTAACGTCGTTAGTATCATGCATGAATTATCATTTCTTATTATAATATTTAGCTTAATACTATTAGTAAATGACAAAAAAATCATTGAATAGGTGCAAGAACCAAGTGGCATCCGTGGTAAAAGAATTGGTTTTATTATTTATTTATATTTGAACAGACATTGCCTTATAGTTATCCCAGATTAATAAAAAAAATACTATTTTAGGTATTTTAAAAGTATATGTGTCACATTGAATATTTTAAAAATAAAGATAATATATTAGATAAATGTTCATAATACTTGCACTAAATATGATGTTATCTCATTCAAATAGAATATCAATATAATATTTAAATCTATCTAGATTTGTAAACATTTACCTAAACTCACCTGTGTGACTAAAGATAAAATTATATTTATTATTAAAATTTAGAATGTAAACAACCTGACATGTCCATTTTGAAAATAACATTGTGTATTTATTATATGCATGAAATTCCATCAAGTTGATTTATGGTAATGGTTTTTGTAACAAGAAGATTCTCCTATTTAACCAAATTAATTACATGTAAGAATTTTGAATGCAAAAAAAAATTATTGTTTCTTTTAAATTTTTTTATTGATCGATTAATTCAGGTTGAATATTGTATAGATTTATCATGGGATGATCTTTTGAACCCGGTTGATTTCATTTACAACGTCAAAATACTAATCCCAAACCTTAATGTTCAATTAAATAAAAAATTTAAAAACTTAATTTTTTTCCTTCAAAAATTTAAGAGCTT